TCCCCTCAGACCAGTCATCTGCAGAGTTTCTCCTTGCCTGCACTGTGGAGTGTTTGGACGTTGGCCAGAGTGTGGCAGATTTTAACTAGGTGTGCCCTGGTCTATTTGTTAAAAGAGACCTGATACTGTTTCCACTAGAGCTGAAGCTTTGCAGAACTCTGTGGTCAGTAGACGTGGTGCCTGCTGCGGTTTGTGCTGGTCTTCTGGGGGAGGGGCCTGCTGCACTGGTTCTCAGGCATACTTGCCCAAGAAAAGCAGCACCAACTGACTGCAGGGGGGCAGGGCTTGGTGTAAGCCGGTTAGGCCACCAGTGTTGGCACTGTGCTGCTCACTGAAGTTAGTTTCTGCTGAGGGGCAGGGGAGAGAAATGGCACCTGCCGGGTTTCCCAGATGCACTCCAAGAAGGGGGAACCATCTCTTTCAGTGCGTCCCAGGGGATCCTCAGATCTTGCCATCTGCTCCTGGGCTCTCTGCGCTCCTTCTCCACAGGAGCACTGCAACACCCACTGGGCTCCACACCGGCCTTGCCATAGATTTCTACAACTCCAGTCTTTGAGCGCTGCTGGTTGTAAAAAGTCACAAAAATCAGCCCCTCTTGTTTTCCCAGTCACTGTCTTCTGATTTTTGTAAAGTCTTTTTAGTTTTGCCTTTTCCAGAATGTCATATAGTAGGAATCACACTATTTTATTTATCTATTTTTAATTAATTATTTTATTTTATTTTTTTAAAGATTTTATTTATTCATTTGACAGAGAGACACAGCGAGAGAGGGAACACAAGCAGGGGCAGTGGGAGAGGGAGAAGCAGGCTTCCTGCATAGCAGGAGCCCAATGCGAGGCTCAATCCCAGGACCCTGGGATCATGACCTGAGCCGAAGGCAGACGCTCAACTACTGAGCCACCCAGGTGCCCCTGTTTTTTTTTTTTTTTTTTTTAAAGATTTCAGTTTTAAGTAATCTCTACCCCTCAACATGGGGCTTGAACTTAGAATCCTGAGATCAAGAGTTACATGTTCTACTGACTGAGCCAGCCAGGTGCCCTTTATTTTATTTTTTGGATCACACTATTTTAGATTGGTTTCTTTCACTTAGTAATGTGCCTTTAAATTTCTCCCTTGTCTTTTTCATGGCTTAATAGTTCATTTGTTCTTAGTGCTGAGTAATATTACATTGTTTGGATGTGCCACCTTTTATTTATCTATTCACTTACTGAAGGACATCTTGGTTGCTTCCAAGTTTTGGCAATTATGAATAAAGCTGCTATAAACACCCATGTGCAGGTTTCGTGTGGACATAAGTTTTCAGCTTCTTTGGGTAAATACCAAGGAGCACAATAGCTGGGTCATATGGTAAGAGTATGTTTAGTTTTGTGATAAACCACCAAACTGTTTTCCAAAGTGGCTGTACCATTTTGTGTTCCCACCAGCAAAGAATGAGACTTCCTGTTGTTCTGCATCCTTCTCAGCATTTGGTGATGTCAGTGTTTTAGATTTTGGCCATTCTAATAGGTGTATAGTGGTATCTTACTATTTTTGTTACCCTGATATATGATGTGGAGTATCTTTTCATATGCTTATTTTTCATCTCTATATCTTCTTTGATGAGATATCTGTTAAGGTCTGTGACCTATTTTTAATTAAGTTGTTCATTTTGGTATTAAGAGTCTTTGGATATTTTGGATAAGAGTCCTTATTAGATGTGTTTTTTCAAATATTTTTTTCCAATATGTGGTTTGTCTTCTCATTCTCTTGACATTGTCTTTCACAGAACATAAGTTTGTAATTTTAACAAAGTCCTGTTCATCAGTTATTTCTTTCATGGATCATATCTTTGGTATTTTATCTAAAAAGGCATCACCATACTGAACGTTGTCTAGGTTTTTCCCTATGTTATTTTTTAGGAGTTTCATAGTTCTACTTTTTATTACATTTAGGTCTGTGATTTATTTTGAGTTAATTTTTGTGTAGGGCATAAGGTCTGTGTCTAGATTCATTTTTTGGCATATGATACTAAGTTGTTCTAGCGCCACCAACTGTCTTTGCTCCATTGTATTGGCTTTGCTCCTTTGTCATAGATCAATTGACTATATTTATGTGGGTCTGTTTCTAGGTTCTGTATTTTGTTCTACTGATCTGTTTGTCTATTCATTTGCTAATACTACACTGTCTTGATTACTGTATCTTTGTAGTAAATCTTAAAAAGTCAGGTAGTATCAGGTCTCCAACTTTGTTTCTTTCTTTTCAATATTATGTTGGTTGTTCTGGGTCTTTTGCCTCTCCATATAAACTTTAGAGTCAGTTTGCCAGTATCCACAAAATAATTTGCTGGCATTTTGATTGGGATTGCATTGAATCTATAGATCAAGTTGGGAAGAACTGACTTTTTGGCATTATTGAGTCTTCCTATTCATGAACATGGAATATCTCTCCATAATATATTATTTTTAAAAGATGTACTGCCCAGTTTTTTTCTAACATTTTATTTAGGATTTTTGCATTGATGTTCATAAATGATCCTGTTCTGTAAATCTTTGGTTAACTTTTACTTCAATGTTATACTTGCTTCATAAAAAGAATGTAAGGCTTTCTTTCTTTTTTTCTTTCTTTTTTTGACTATGTTCCGGAGTAGTTTTAATAGCATTGGAATTGCCTAGTTTTGATGGGTTTTGTGGAATTTTCCCATGAAACTATTTGGGTCCTAGTGTTTTGTGGTTGGGTTAACAGATATATTGGACTTCCTCTACTTCTGTGAAAATTAGTTTGTTTAGATTTTCTCTCTCTTCTGGAGTCTGTTTTGGTAAATTATCATTCTTTGTAAAATACCCATTTTATTAATATTTTAAAGTGATTTGTATAGAGTTGAGGAAAGTAATTAATTATAAGACTTTAAATTTGTTTTTGTGGTTATTTCCTCTCAGGATTTATTAGTTGAATATTTGTTTCTTTGCTTTTTTCTTAATAATGGTGGCTATTTTAAGTTTTTCCTCTCCACAATAAATCAGCTTTCACTTACTGATTTCTGCTCTTTTCCTAAGTAAAACCTACTTTTATTTTTATTAATCTTGGTTTGTAGCTCTCTTATTGTCCTTTACTGGCTTTTTTTTTTTAAGATTTATTTACTTATTTTAGAGAGCATGCATGTGCGAGTGGGAGGAGGGGCAGAGGGAGAGGGAGAATCTTAAACAGAGGGAGAATCTTAAGCAGGTTCCACGCCCAGCACAGAGCCTGACGTGGGGCTTGATCTCATGACTCATGATACCTGAGCTGAAACAAAAAGTCAGTTGCTTAACTGACTGAGCCACCCAGGTACCCCGTCCTTTATTAACTTTTTGAGTTTGGGCACTGAATTCATTGATTCTCATTCTTTTCTTACAGATATTAGTGCTTAAAATTTCCTCTGAGCTTGCCATAGTCTGATAACTAGAATATGATATTGGGTAACTTTTGTCATGTTTTTAAGAATTTTGCAATATTGGTTTATTTTTTGTTCTTTTAATGCTTGTTAAAGAGTTTTGAATTTCAAGGTGGAAGTCTTTTTATTTTCTGAACTTGTTATTTTAAATTTTATTGTATTAATGCAAGAATATTATCTGTATTTTTCTACCTTTTGGAACTTATTATAAGGTGTTATTAATTCTTTGGACTGTTTCTTAGACCCTTCAAAAGATGTTATTTTTATAATTTCAGGGTAAAGATTTTGATATGTGTCAATCAGATTTACCTTCCTAATTATGTTTTTGATTTTAGTCTGTATATTCATACTTATTTTTGGTTCAGTTGATCTGTTACAGACTAAATGAGGGGAATGAAAGCCTCCTAATACTAGTGTCTGTTTGTTTAAGTATAATGTCTTCTAAAGTTTCTTCATGAATATTTATACTATAAATACAGTGCTTTTTGGTGATGATAAATTCACAATTATTTATTCATTTGGATTTATCTTCCTTAGACTTATAAACTTTTTTTTGTACTTGTTTAATCTTTGTTTTTGTCTTGACTTTTAAGATTGCGACTAATACTGTGAGCCTTATTTCTTTTTGTTTGTATTTGCCTTTGTCCATCTTACCATTTAAAAGGTTTTTTGAATCATATTATTTTAGGTATGTGCTTTGTATACAGTGAAGTTTGTTTTCCTTTGTGATCCACACTGTAGCACTTCTATTATTTAGAATTTTAAACAGCTTTATTGAGATGTAATTGCATATCATATAATCTACTCATTGAAAATGTACAATTTCAGTGAATTCAATTTAGTGCAGTTCAGAGTTGTGTGATCACTACCACAATCAACTTTAGAACATTTTCCATCACCTGCAGAAGAAACTCTGTACTTGTTAGCATCCATTCCCTAATTCTTCCAAACTTTTAGCCTTTGGCAGCCACCAGGCTACTTTCTGTCTCTGTAGATTTGCCTATTTTGGACATTTCATAGAAACAGAATCATTCAGTATTTGGTGTTTTGTGACTGGCTTCTTTTACATAGCCTAATGTTTTTAAGGTTCATCCATGTTGTAGCATGTATCAATATTCCATTCCTTATTATGGCTGAATAATATTTTATTATATGAATATATAACATTTTGTTTATCTATTCTTCAGTTGATGGGTACTTTTAGTTGTTTATCCTTTTTGGTTATTATGAATAATGCTGCAACAAACATTTCTGTCCAAGTTCTTATGTGGACATGTGTTTAACTCTTTTATTTTTTAAAGTGATGATTTATTCCATTTACATTTATCCATGTGATAGTTACGTTGGGTATCAGTGCTGTCATTGTGTTATGTTTTCTATTTTCATAGTTTACCACAAGTCTTTCATTCTGCTGTTAAAATGTGTGTGGGTGCATGTGTTTCTGGTTTTCTGGTATTTGGATGGTCTGTATTTTGTTTTAGTGTTTAATTTCATAATTATATCTTTCTATGATATCTTCAGTTTTGTATTTCTTTATTACCTAGTAAATCCCTGCCTGTGCATAATGTCTTTGCTCTTTTACTCCCATTTTTCTAGTATTAGCTTTTAATGAATAATATTATTTTCCTACTGTAAAATATACTTCTACTACTTGATTTGTTTCAATTAGCAATAATCGCACCTCGGATAAACCTCATTGGCTACGATACTGCCACTGCGCAAAGCTCTACTACTTGATTTGTTAACATTAAATTGCAGACTTGGAGTCCCATCCCATCATTTCTCCCTTTTTTCCTTTCAGTTTTTATTTATATTATTTTCATATTATTGGGATAGTTGATATTTACACTCTGTTCTTTCCTTCTAATCCCCACATTTATTTTATTTTACAGCTAATTATGCTTTACTGCTTTGATAACAGTACTCCTTTTCCCATTCTTGCTTGGCTGAAGTTTATCTCTTAGTGGTTTTCTCAAGAATATTTCATGAGAACAGTGGTCCCTTAGTTCTTGCATGTTCATTCAAAAGTGTTTGCTTATTGTAACCTTTATTTTTGAAGGGTCGTTTGGAGGAATATAAAACTCTGGCTCACACTTAACCTTTGAGTGTCCCACTGTCTTGTAATATTTAACGTTGTTGTGAAGCAATAAGATGCCATCTGATTTTTTGTGGGTTTTTCCCTCCATTTTAATTAATCTTTTTGTTCCTTTGCTCAAAAGATTATTTCTTCATCTTTAAAGTTCACTAATTTCCTAGATATGTCTTGGAGTTGACTGTTCTAGGTCAGTTTTCTCTGGCACTTATGCCCTTCTTAATATGCAGATTCAAGTTTTAAGTTTTCTTAGCTTTTATCTGTAAATATTTGTGATGTATTGATTGGTTTTTCTTGTTGGACATTTTGGCTGTATTCATATTGTTCCATCTTCCAAAGCAGCAATTCTCAGACTTTAGTGAGCATCTGAATTATTTGGAGGGCTTGTTAAAGCAGACTGTTGGGTTCCATTCCCAGATTTTCTGAGTCTGGTAAGTCTCTGGTGGTGTGAAAATTTGCACTGCCTCCCAAATTCTCAAGTGAAGCTGCAGCTGCAGCTGCAGCTGCTTGTCCAGGGACCCTACTTTGAGAACCATTGCTCTAAATCTAATATTGATGCCCTGACCCTTCTAAATTATTTTTCCTTTGTTTTGTTTCATTTTGTTGTGTCCTTTAAATCTATATTCTTTTGCTCCTTGTTCTATATTATTATATATTCTCTATATTCCTTCATTTCTGTATGATGATTTTTCCCTTGAACTATTTTCCTGTGTTTTGTCATTTTTATACCCCTTTTCATTTGTTCTGCCATCTTTTTCCTTGAATCTTTATATTTCTGCTTTGTTGGTCTTTATAGCAGTGACAGTTTTATTAATTTTTAAGAAGTCATGATAAAGTGTAAATTGTCACCTGTGTAGGGCAGTATTTTTTGGTCAAGTTTGCACTGTTAGTATTACATTTCTACCTCTTTCATTCAATACTTTTGTATTGATGCTGTGTCAGATCCCTTAATATTACCCATATCTAAGAAATTAGATATGCTTGGATCACTTATTTGCACAAGGTTGCTGTGGGAGGAGAGTACAGATTATATTACCCAAAGCTTTACTTTGGCCGTACTTGTTCACAGTCAAGCTTGTTCTAGACGTATGCCTTTTCTGTGTGATTCTTTTAAGTAGAACCACTGAATACGTTGTTCTAAACTCGTCTGGGAGCTGGAGTGCTTCTGTCTCTTAACACTTTTTATTTGGTTTCTGTACTCAGTATTTCAAACATTGAAATTCACTTTTGCACTTAAGGGCAAGCCATTTACTTTCAGGGAGTGTATTTTTATGCACAGTTTCTGGAATCTGCTGCTAGTTCTTCTAGCCACACTCTGAACTTTCCTTTAGCCCCCTTTCTCTTGGATTCTAGCTACTTTTTGTAGTCTACATTTGTGTTTTAGAGTCTGTGGATTAATATTTGCCTCTGAGTTTTGCTGAAAACTTGAGTTACTTAAAGTTTCTTGGAGAAATAAAATCACACGTAGAAATCTTTTTGCTGAGATGATTTACAGGAGGAGAAGGAGAGAACTGCATCAGTGTTCATGCTGCAACCTCAGGGAAATAATTTGAAAGCCTTTGGTTTGATTAAAGCACTGGGCAGTTTTATGGGTTTTGTTAGAGATGACATTAAGCTCTCTTAATAAGATTTATTTTTGACTAAAGAAGTGTAAACAGAATCACAGTTCCAGTTTCTTTGTGGAGATATGCCTTTGTATCATTGGAATTTGCTACTGTTAAATGAAGGGGATTATGAACACAAGCTAGTTATTTATTTATTTATTTATTTAATATTTTAAAAAAGATTTTATTTATTTATTTGAGACAGAGAGAATGAGAGACAGAGAGCATGAGAGGGAGGAGGGTCAGAGGGAGAAGCAGACTCCCTAGCGAGCAGGGAGCCCGATGCGGGACTCGATCCCGGGACTCCAGGATCATGACCTGAGCCGAAGGCAGTCGCTTAACCAACTGAGCCACCTAGGCGCCCCACAAGCTAGTTTTTTAAAAAGTTGAAATATCCTAAATTGTTCATTAGAACATAGTTGTTTGTATTCTGAAACACAAATGGCAGAAATCTCCAAATACAGTAGCTCTGTGATGTGTGATCTTTGTTGTTTTTGTTTGATGGCCTAGCAATTTTCAGTTGTTCCCCTAAGCTGTCACTTTACTGATGATTAGCTCTTCCCTCTCCTTCAGTGAAGTTCCCACCATTGTTGGTAGGTGTGTTCTGGTTTATATGTCAACAGGTTTCTGTCCTCTTTATATTTCAAAAATTTATTGAAATCTTTCTCATCTTTGAATAGTTGTCCCCCACTTGCTTTTTTTTTTTTTTTTTAAAGATTTTCTATTTATTTATTTGACAGAGAGAGACACAGCGAGAGAGGGAACACAAGCAGGGAGAGTGGGAGAGGGAGAAGCAGGCTTCCCGCGGAGCAGGGAGCCCGATGCGGGGCTCGATCCCAGGACCCTGGGATCATGACCTGAGCCGAAGGCAGGCGCTTAACGACTGAGCCACCCAGGCGCCCCCCCCCCCAACTTGCTTTTTATTGTTCTGAGTTAATTCCATTCCTGTCATTTTATTGGTGTCTCTGACTAGAGGGGGTGAAGTACGTAACATAACATAACAGCTTTAACTGCATTGCTAACTGAAGTACATTTTCAAGAAAGACATGTGGGTATTCAATGCCCCTTTTCCTTGAAGTGTTCTACTTCCTTTGGACGTACTTAACATTGTAACCTTGGGTATTGATTATTTTTATATAATATATCAATTCCATTTTCCCCCCCATTTCCCCCTCCTGCATTCTGGAAAATCTTGAGATTGGTCTCAAATGAAAGATTTAATTTTCTGTAATGTTGGTTTATTGTCCCTAATGTGGATTTTTTTTTTTTACCCTTTCTGCACTATTTACTTTTTGCTTTACCTGTCTTCTTTTTAATCTAGTTCTTTTCTTATTACTTTATTTCTGTTTTTCTTTTTCTTGAGAGATTTTGTCCTCTAGCATCCTATTGAGGATACAAAATTTTTCTTAAAGTTTCTTTTTAATGGAATTTTTAAATTGAATTTATATTTATTTAAAGCTTTAGTTTTCCAATGAGTTTTCATGATATTTCTCTTTCCTTAAATGATGAAAGATTCGTTTAGTCCTCGTGTTTGCTAGATGACAAAGGTTGTAGATTGTTCTTGTGTGCACTCTTTAAATTTCAGTTGGCATGCTAGTTTACATTCATGTCACTTGTCTAGCTGGGATTATGCTAGAGTAAAATGGAATATTCCTTTGTCTTCTACTGCATGATCCTCTGAACAGATGGAGTATATGAATATTAGTCTCCAATATGTTCTGCTCTCCGGGAGCCTCCTGTCTTTTTTTCAACTACTGCACTTTCTTTATGAGTGAACATGAAACCAATACACATGTTCTTCCCTCCCAATTATTTTCTTGGACTTGGTGTTGGTATCAGTAAAGGAAGTGTGACGTTCTTTAAGAGACTTAGATTGTCTAGAGTAGCAGTTTTCAGACTTTTGATCTCAGGACTCCTTTATAATCATTATAATTATTGAGGACCCTGGAGAGTTTTTTATTTATGTGGATTATATCTAGTGATATTTATCATATTAGAAATTACAACTGAAAATATTCATTTTAAAATAACAGTAAACCAATATTAATAGAAATAACATTTTTGTGAAAAATTACCACATATTCTAAAGCAAAAAACAATATAGTGTGAAGAGTGGTGTTGTTTTGCCTTTTTGCAAATTAAAGAATGTCTGGCTTCATTGAATACAGCTGGATTCAGTTTTTTGTGATGTCATCTGTCATATAGTCTCTGAAAAACTACAGTGTGTACTCCTAAGAGAGTGATAGTGAAAAGGGTAAACTATTTAACTTTATTATGAAAGTAGTTTTGACCTCATGGACCATCTGAAAGAGTCCAAGGGAACCCCCTATAGACACCCTTTGAAACCACCTAGAAGATGGGGAAAGAAAGGGTTATAGGAGCAGTTTGCTCCATGATGTTGTAGACACACGTGGAAGAACAGCTAGCTGCCTAGTGTCTGTCTGGTTGGTATAAACCTTGTACTTATGATCTATAGTAGAATTTGAATGATCTATAGGGAATTTGAGTAGATCATTTTTGTTGTTCAGGCTTGCTGTCTGCGTGGTATACAAGGTCCATTGACCAACCTTTTTAATAGAGATCTTTAGCCTTGAAATTTTGGTGGCATATGAACTTTCTTTGTCCTGATATGAGGTTTAAAGTTTTCATCCTGCATTTTTCTTAGGTGTTTCAGTAGATGTTTTGGAAAGTTTGTATCAGAGCTGCTAGACAGATAATATTTTAAACTTCAAAGCTCTTAGTATTTGGTTAGTCTGAGAAGCTGCTTTCTTTTACATTTTATTATTATTTTCCTCTTATTTTCAGGGCACAGTGGTTATCTGTTATGTAAATCGGCGGAAAAACCACTCTAAATTTTTAGGCATTTATAAAAAGCAATAAGATTGACTAAAGTATTTTTTTTGCCTAATTGCCTATTTTTTTACTGATTGGCAAAAATAATTCATTTTCTTTCTTGTAAACTCCCCATTTTTATTTTAATATGATCAAGCCTGATCTTGGATTATTTCACACTTGTGAGGTCTTTTTCTC